CCGTAGGGTGCGTACCCCGTGGGTGGGGGCTGTGCACCGGGGGGTGGGGGGAAGCTCCCCTGGGTGGTGGAGATGGGAGCCATCGTGCCGCTCACCCTGATTGGCTCCTGTGCTGCTGACGAGGGGATTGATGGCTGAAAGGGAAAGTTGTAACGTGAGCCAACATGTCATGTATCAAATTACTCCTCATCACATCTTCTTGATACAGCCACAGTTACGGGGCTCGAACACTTTTCTGTTTCTCAAAAAAAATGCAAGTTGTCAGAAATTCTACATGGAATTTGGCAAAACCTTCTGCAAATTCCCAAGGCATCATTCCTACAGTACCTGCCCTATTACTGGTAGTCAGATGGTAATCAGCTCAATTGTGATTCCTAAAACTTCAGACTTGATTTTTCTCAACACGTTCTGCTTTGAAACGTTCTTGACCCGATTGGTTCAACAGCAATTCTACTTTCAGCAGGAAAATCTAAACATTTCAGAATACCATCAGACATGGCTTTTCTCAACTGCTACATCCTGTCCTAATACAGGAAAGTTTTACCGGTAGTCCTACATCGAACAGGAAACTTTCATCAGAAACTTACATCATGTGGGTACTGTCTCCTCCCTGCCTGACTGGGGGGGCCGCTGGTGGGAGGGCCCATGGGGGGACCAGGGGGGGCTGCAGGACAACACATAAAAAAAGCAGTCATTCCTTGACTTTAAGCAGCATTTGTTTTATAAAATCCTCCATATGTTTCTCTCCAAAATCCACACGTCTATTTCTACATATACTAATGTATGTACTAGTATGTATCTGTTTCCTAAAATGTCTTCCCAAAATGGGGTAATACAATGACTCAAACAAAATGAAATTCAGTGACACCCCTATGTGGATAATGGTTTGTCCCAGACTGTTCCATTCCTTACCGGGGAAGGAGGCCATGACTCCGCCGCCCTCGATGGCATCAAAGTTCTGTGTGGGGATGGGGGAGGGCGCCGTGGACGACCTTGCAGAGGGCGGACCTGGGAACGGTCAAGGTCAACAGGTTAAAGAAACATGTCTGCCAACTGTGGGTGGTGGGAATTTGAGACGTTCAGTTCCAATCCTTTTTACCTGCATATGTTGGTCTATTCACAACTCTTCGAAGCATATAATATACACATAAGCATTATTTTCTAAAAAGTTTCTTGCTGTGATCGACACAGCATGCTTTACTCTACATAATCTATCTGGGTTTTCTGTCAAGTGCACAGTTATTGTGACACTTTACTTCTACTGAGTCCTAAAGAGTAGTGACTGTCCAGAAATTCAACTTAATCTGTCTTTCCACTTCTATTCTATAGTGCTTCTACCACTAGTAAAAGCTTTTAAACCTTGTACACCACAGAATGCAGAACACCGAAGAGAGACAGAAAAGTACATTGAAGAATCCACCACCAGGTAGAAATGAGAAGTAGACAGGTATGGAGTAGAAGACATATTAGAAAATATACAGACACAGATACAGGGTGCAGAATGAAATGCCAGGGTGGTTCTACATTAGAATACAGTACTTCTCTACAGACAAAACATGAAAAACTCAGGACTAAATTCTTAAAAGTTGGCATACTATAGCTATATTCCTTTCTGAATTATCCCAAAATTATGACAAAGCCACTCTGAAATGTAGGTTAAAGTTTAGGATAAAGAAGGAAGTTAAGTCCAGCCAAAGAGAAGAAGAAAGGGATCACGAGATGACCTTGTCTAACCCACGCCTGACCCAGTCCCCTGCCCTGTACATACCTGAGGACCCGGGTGTGTCCCCGTGCCCCGTGGGTTGGTAGTAGGGGGTCAGGTGGGTGTACGCCTGGGTTAGCGGGGCTACTGTGGCTGCATGCAAGGCACAGGCACTTTTATAAGTTTACACATGCACTATAGCAACTAAACAAAGGCTTAAATCTTCTCTGTACTAAATTAGCTACTATCACATACAGATTCTGTGGCAAAAAGCTACCTTAGCCGGCATTAAGTAAGGTTAAACAAACATAAAAAAATATTATGCAGTTTCATCTCAATGCGTACTTCCTCTTTTCAGTAACACCAGTGTAGTAAAGAATCATATCTATATCTGTGCATGACAGTGTGAGCATGAAGTGGCTTGCTGAATCATAAACTTGTAGAAACTGGCAGATTGTGTTTAGATGAATAAATTATGACTTGTAACAGTATACTGATGCATTGGGATGGGACAGTGATCAGACATCCAAGACAGACATGATCCCAGCATGTTGGGAGACTAACAAGTTGACAAGTTGAAACGTTTGGTTATGACATTAATAAACATAACCAGATGTACACATACATACACTGAGATGGGCCCTCCTGGGTAAGTAAAACAAACAAACAAACAAACAAACAAACAAACAAACAGACAGCTACTGGATCCGTTTCTCACCTGTAGGGGGCCCAGGCTGCCTTGGACCAGTGGGTGGGGGGGCCAAACCTTGGGCCATTCCATACTGCTGTCCTGGAGGGGGAGGTCCAGCTGGCCTCTGCTGAGGGGTGTAGGTCTGTCCGGGTAGTGGAGGGGGAGGGACGCCACCCTGCCCTCCCCTGCTGGATGGTACAGTCTGGTGTGGCTGGCTGCTGTAGGATGTGGGTGGCGGGTGAGTCGATGTTGCATGAGGGGGGGCCTGGCTGGTGTAGGGCTGTCCCATGGAGCGGGGAGGTGCCATCGAAGATGGGGGTGGTCCAACCGATGAAGGGGGAGGGGCTACGGATATTGGGGGAGGCCCCATTGATGTCGGGGGAGGTGCCATTGAGGAGGGGGGTGCGGGCCTTGCAGCAGAAGGTGGCTGTCCCATGGATGACGGAGGAGGGGGCATACCCCCCTGTCTGCTGGAGTGTGGCATTCCGGGCTGGTATGCGGCACCATGGGGAGGTACCATTCCTGGCCTGGAGGCGGGGGGTTGTCCGTACGTCTGTCCGTTTGGCACCGGTCCACTCGGGGGTGGTCCTACGCCACCCCTACCCCCTGGGGGGGAGGAGTACTGTCCACTCGAGGGGGGTGGGGGCATCCCCCCTGCACTAGACTGTCCGTACGAACTCTGAATCTGATTAAAATTTCTCTGATTTAAGGGGGGTCCGGAGTTCTGTAACGCTGACGGAGGGGGTCCGACACCCCCCTGCGGGTTATACATGTTCGTGTACCCCCCGCTGGTCGGGAGAGGGGGTTTGCTGGAGGGGGGTCCTGCACCTTGGTAGGGTCCGGGTGCGTAGGGTTTGGTTCCGTACATGTGACCTGTGGGAGGGGGGCCTGCACCAGGGGGTGGGACCATCGGCTGACCTGGCATGGGGGGGCCTGGAGAGGGGGAACATAAAATAAGTCTTAGACACGTTGATGAAGGTTACACATGAAGGTAATAAGATACGCCAAAAAGCAGTTACTCAAGCAACTGGATATGGTTGGGGAAATTCTAAAATTATATCCAGTTTCATGACCGTTTCCAAAATCATATCCAGTTGCTTGAGTAACTGCTTTTTGGCATATGATAAGTCTTAGTTTGGACAGAAAAGTGCACTAAACTACCAATAAGTAATATTGATATCAAACTTGCAAAATTATATTCATAACCATTGTAAGAGTCAAGTACTACACAAACTCCAAATACTTGTTGTAAACCTAAGTCCTGTATATCCGTCACTGTTATAAACAGCTGTTTACAAATGTATTTCTATCAATGTAATTTTTTTTGTTGCTCATTCATACTATCATAGCACATACCTATGCTGGATACTCTTCTTTGGTTGCATAACGCTTGCCCTTACTGGCCTTAGCCATGGATTTGCAGTAACTTTATTGTAAGCTTTCCATACATATGCATATGATGCTAAAGTATCGTAAACACAATGAATGACTTCTATACCATACAACAAGACAAGTTTTGGTAGTCTACCCTTTAATCCAATGGTTCTTCTAGTTCTACAACATGAAAGAGCAGATTTCGAAACAACTCTGGACTCTGGGAGGAGACATATACCCCATCCCACCTGCCTTCTCTTGGGAGCTACAATAAACCAGACGCTCTCTACAGAAGTGTCAGTCATGCTAATCTGGGTGGGGTGGGGGGGGGGTCTCCTTTGTTCTCTTTGTCCATTTAATCTGATCTAAATCATTCAGGATTCACTTTTCTTCTCAGAGTGGACCAAAAATCACTGCAACTTACAACTATCATTCACTAAAGGAAAGAAATCAGAGACAATTCTTATACACACCGAACAAGAAGTGATCATTTACAACATACAAGTGATTATCAGAAAGTTATCAACAACTGACTGCTTTTGATGGCTGAGATACAAGTAGTTTCAGCATGTCAAAAGGCAACAACAACAAAGGAACTGTAACTGAAGCCATGTCCGACTTGGTTTCCACTTTCTGACTGTAGATTTGACAGACAAAACATGTGTATCTGACACGTCAGGGCTGAGTTCTAACTACTGACCCAAATAACACACACATGCCGAAATTCCTGCAGCTTAACTAACAAATAAATCACGCCTTATACAAACGGTACATCACAGGTAGCATCTCTACAGCTGTTCTGACACTACAGGTGTGAAAAGTACCTGTAATACACCTGGAACAACACCTGTGTACGTCATACACGTACGCACCTGTACATATGTCACCTAGTGCCCCCCACCCCACCTGAACTCTTGCAAAAAACGTCCTTGTCCTGTTTTACAGTTTACTCTCGTATTCAGACAAATTCTGACCGACCTTGTAGACATGTCACACATCTAGACGACATTTTAGTAGAAACAGATAATCAAAAGTGGGTAAAATTGAGGTACAAATGTGAGAATTGTTTAATAATGACTCATGTTTGTCACAGGTTCGATTTCGTCAGAGATAGAAGTCTGCGATAACGGATATGTAACGTTGGCGAACTTTTCTGACCAGTTTCTGCCGCGATTTGGCGCATTCAGGCATCGTCGCGGGCTGATTTAAGGATCTGCACACCAGCTTCTGTGAGAGGAATACAAAATCGTTGCCTTTAGATGTTAGAAACAAGCGCTCTGGCGCACAAACCTGGCACGGGTTTGCCCACGTTGGTACTGGGGCCATTTTGCAGCTGGGCTCCGGGCGTGGGCGGCGCAACTCCCGGACGGAAAGGCGCCTGCGGATCGGCCATGGCCGCTCTTACGGCCCTGCTTTCGTCAAAAACCCGCAGAACAGTTTTCCTGGCTCCTTCCGAGGCAAATAAGTCGGCGGTGCGATGTACCGTTTGTTATAAAATCCAGGGTTTTTATGGTTCCACCCTTGTACTTTTGGGGCTCGGGGAAACCCAAATATGCAAATTATCCGGAAGTACAACACTTGCGCCTGCGCACTTTGCTCCAGACGTTCAACGTGGCACTACCCACAATGCGCCTGACTTCCGCTTTCGTGTATTTTTAAACAGCAGACGATCAATATATTTTGTACACATGGAAAATCGTGAATAAAGAACACTTCAGGCGGCAAATGGAGGAACGACACGTATGGAAACGTGGAAACCAGCTTTGAGGTTATAGCTCATGGCGGGGTGCCACTGGATCGGGAGCGTTTGGGTGAAAAAAGAGGACTTCATATTCAGATGATAAAAAATTCCTACAACGTCCTTGGAATTTTTAAAACGTAAAAAGACACATCTTTGTCACTTTGCGAGTAAAAAACTAAACTATGTCATTCCGTGAAAGTGTTTGAGAGTAGTTCATATGAGAAGGGAGAGGGGAAGAAAAAAATCTGTCATTTTATCTATCCCTGAAAAAAGGAAACCAGGAAAGAAAAACATTATTTTTGAGCGTAAGAAAGAGGAACATTACTTTTGTATTGTGTACTAGATTTTTTACAGGCTGCATACCAAGTCCAATAAGCTAAAACAAAAGTTTTTATATTGCCAACAAAGTTTGTCATGTCTCTGTTGGGGTCAACGACCGCCAGAGCACAGGGTCAAAGGGCAGGAACACAACGTGGCAATCCCACAATCCATTGCGCGAGGCTGGGTGAAGAAACGGAAATCGGAATGGTATTGCTATCTGCGATCTGATTGGTCAACGGCAATTCCGCCTTGTACCTATTTTCAGAAGATTGGAAACTAATTCCTGGTATCTTTGCGTTTCAATTATACACAAAATTGCTACGTAGACCACAGATTTAGAGGAACTGAACACATAAAAGACAAATGCTATTTGAGGCAAAATTGTTGTTAAATCGTAGCAGTCTGGTTTGACCAATGACAGAGCGGCTTACATCGCAGAATGGTACTTGTGGCTGATGACGTAATACCGGGTGGACCTGGGGGCAGCCATTTTCGTCTTGGACGGAATGACATGACAAGGGAGGAAGTCTGAAGAATTCGTCTTACAAATCTGCTTTTGGGCAAGAAAAAGGACCAACATTTTAGGGTAAGAGGTGCGGAATCGGTTACTGGTCGTCAGGACACTGTTTAACACCTATTCGATCAGTGAAAGGACTCCGAATTCGAGGTAAACGTGTCAGGTCGAGGTGGATAAATTTTTGATACGTTGCAACTGGTTTTGAATAAGGAGATACGTAATTTCTTAGTCAGAGCCTTGGTTGGAGTCGGTCTAGTAAAATCATTGCGTCTTAAACCCAGGATAAGATGAATTGATTACGCATGACCTTGTTTCTCAGGGTTTGTTAGTTAGTACGTTAGTAATTTAGCTGTTTGGTGGAGTCCAAAATTTTATGGTCTGGTTTCGATGTATCCGAAAATCCTTCAAATCCAATATCAACTCAAGCTCCAAAACCTCTTCGGATTGTTTTTACCATCAAACTTAGAATTTAGATCAGAACCATTTATCTAAAAAAAAACTCATTCCCACTTGCTTGTCAATGTATCTTCTGCCTCTACAACTTTACAGAATAAAGAAAGACAGGCATATAAATTTTATACATTCAATATGTGATGTTCTTGTCATAGATATATAGATTGTATTATAAAGCAAAAGCATCATAGCTTACAAAATCTCCTTTTTCATTAATTATATCCATTTTTGTTGAAGTGTTAGTTGTAATGTCTTCAACCTTGACCTGAGTGTTATACAGTATGTACACTAACAGTAACAGGTAGTGTTACCTGGGCAAAGTACAGTTCTCACCTGTCAGGTGATTTCTGCCCAGGTGTGAACAGGTGTGTACAGTACACTCACCTGCCTTTGTCTCACAGGTGCTTATTAGCAGATTAGCTCTCCAGGTGTCTTGATGTGGATCAGAAAGTGTGTTGTAGGATAAACAAAACCACCAAAGTATAATATAATAGGGCCAATATAATAGGGCCAATCTGAATAGTTTGGGCATGACTAGGCGTCAGCATAACTGTGGAGACTTTGTGTTGCCACCTTCATTGTTTTTGTGTAGTTCTTATGAATGAGAAGGTCGGTAAAATGTGATTTTGTTGATTCGGAGAAATGAGTACTAACAGTTTGACTCTGTTTACATTTTGTAGAGCTCATTCTAAGAATTGATATTTAGAAAAGACCTAAGTAGTTGTAGTCAATAATTGCTGCAAAGTTGTTACAAGTTTGCAAGGAACTTTTTTGCCAGACTCTTTAAGATACTACTAGTAAGTAAAAAAAAAAACAGTTTATGATCAAGCAGCATATAAAATGAAGGCAAGCATATTACATCATGATGATATCACATCAGTATAAATATTTTATAAATTCTACTGTTTACATCCAACATCCCCCTGAATAATTACTGACTATTCCCTAACAAGGCGTGGCTAAGAGTCTCAACTGGAAACTTCTTGTTATTCCACTCAGGCCCAAACCACTTTCCACATTCCCAGCAGTGGTGTCAGGTTTCAAATGGAGCAGCAGAAAAACTAGTCAATTCTTCTGGAATTAAGTTATTTCTTGTATTAATTGGAAGAAAAGACGAAACTGTTCCCAATATGTTTTAAAGGCCTAAAGTAGATTATACTTACTTTACTTAAGTAAATTATATGTAGCATTAAACAACAACAAAAATTGACTTACATATTGCTCAGAAACTAACCCAGTATAACTCTTAATCATTCTGGCTTGCAGTAAAATCTCTCATGCTGACAGTTCAAAAGAAATCATAACATGTCAGGTGTATGTGCTACAACTTTCAACCACCTGAACGACGTCAAGGATTTTATTGTTGTTTCTGCCACAACTTTCATAGTTGGTACATAAAATTTTCCATCTGAGCCTAGTAGTGAGTAAGAACGCATTCTACAGAACTCTAACCTTTCAAACTTGTTATAATATACCGGTAAGATTGCAGTGCCCCAGTTTGTATAAGAACTGTCTGAACAAACAATTTGGTGCTTCTCACTGGCCCAGTTCTGACTACTCCAACAATAGAGCACACTGTATGTGCAGGGACTGGCCTAGTTCTTCTGATGAGCTTTGCAAACTTGGGTGAAAAAATTAAGGTCAGACTCACTCAAACTAAAAAAAGTCAAAGTAAGGAAAAAGAGACTTGCTTGTGTTGTGTTACATAATGGGGAGGGACATCCGGGTAATGCCTTGTTTTACACACAAGTTAGAACCTAATATTGTAGTATTTACATGTAGTAAAAACACTGAAGTCTGTTGTTATGACTCAGACAGTCAGACCCCAAGCCATTGTTACATGTACTGTCAACTGTTGTCAGAATTTCAAAGTAACAGAACAGTTACTCAAGCAACTATGGGTAGATTTTGAAAACAGTCAGGCATTTCATGTAACATCCACTATATATGCATGTATAGTAGTACCAATACATTTCCTCAGTGATTGAAAGATGCTGATGTCAGACTGTCAACCACATGTTGTCCTATTTTTGCCTGACATTCCAGTTCTTACATAAACCCCAGGTAAGGGTCTGTGTTGGTACAACATGTGATGAAGTGTAAATACTACAGATCTATGACTTTTGCCCCTATGAGAGGCAGTTTAGGGTGTCCACTGGACTGGTAGAACAACAACATTCAGAACTGTCAATCATTTGTGTCTTACTTTGGCCTGTTTTAAGGGCTGAGAGTACCCAGCTGCAACATGTAGGAAAACTTGTTGGCAAAGTGTTCAAAAAGTACATGTATTTCAGCCCATTTTATTTAAACTAAAAAGGTAGCAGTAGATTTTTGAGCTGAGATGTAAGCTTGTGCATTTTGTTGTTTTCCTACAGGTTTGCTGGTAGTGTACTTAGACAAACACAAACATGTTTCTGTGGGACTGGTTTGCTGGGATGCTGCACTATTTAGGTAAGTGTGTCACTGTGTGTTTGCCCATGTTTGTGTGATCGTGTATACGTATGTATGTATGTGTGTGTGTGTTTGTGTTTGCTTGTGTGTGTGTTTGTGTGTGGGGGGGGTTGGGGGGGTTGTGCATGTGTGTGTTGATGTTTGTCAACACAAAATGTATGTTTGCTTGTATTCCTGCTTGTCTTGTGGAATTACAGCGATAGTAAATTTTTGGCTATCCTACCAGTTACATTTTAAGAAAAGCAAAAAATGCCAGGGAAGCCAAACACAATGCATATATGTGCTATATTGAGAGTTTTCTTCACAGTCCCCCCCACCAAAGGTCTGCGGAAAAAGTCTGGAAAGCTTGTGTTCCTGGGCCTGGACAACGCGGGGAAGACAGACATTTGTGTGAACTATGTGTGTTTGTGTGTTAATGTGAGGTTTTCCTGGCAGGTCTGCGGAAAAAGTCTGGTAAGCTTGTGTTCTTGGGCCTGGACAACGCGGGGAAGACGACCTTGCTGCACATGCTGAAGGACGACAGAATGGCGCAGCACGTCCCCACGTTACACCCCACCTCCGAGGAGCTGGAGATGGGAGGCATGCGCTTCACCACCTTCGACCTCGGCGGACACGCACAGGGTAGGTAGCATTGTCAGGTTGTAGAGAAGTTGTAAAGAACAGAAGTTGTAGAGAAATTGTAGAGGAGTTGAAGAGAAGTTGTAGAGTAGTTGTAGAAAAGTTGTAGAGGAGCTGTAGAGGAGTTGTAGAAAAGTTGTAGAGGAGTTGTAGAAACGTTGTAGAGGAGTTGTAGAAAAGTTGTAGAGAAGTTGTAGGGAAATTGTAGCAGGAAGTCTAAGCAACCAAGCTGTACCAAGTAAGGTAGAGGAGTTGTAGAAAAGTTGTAGCTGTATCTAGAGTAGTTGGGCTTTTCGAAAAGCAGGAATTACAACCTACAAACTCGGCAATTTCCAGACTAACTGTTGGTTCTGTTGTGTTTCTGCAGCGCGGCGTGTGTGGAAAGATTACCTCCCAGCGATAAACGGAGTCGTGTTTCTGATCGACGCGGCCGACAGGTCCAGGTATAAGGAAGGCAAGGAGGAACTGGATGTGAGTTTAGCAGCCTTTCTTCCATCTACTTTAACTTGTACATATATACTTTGAACTGGTTGTAGTACTGATATGACAAGATAGTATGACATTGATCATCTTGTAAGAACGTGAGAAAAATGTAGAATTTCTGACTTTCATGAAATGTGGACAAGAACTCACCAAATTTAAGGTGGCAAGTATCTAATGGCCAGTTTACTGTATGTACATTAACATGTCAAAGCTGAAAAAAATGTTTATGTCAATTTATTTGAGTCATATAGTGTGTGTAGTTTTAATGACATTTCATAAGTAAGATTTGCTAGAAATAATTTGGGGTGAAATTTTTGGATGTGTACCAAAAGACTTTTAGACGATATGCATTGACTTTACTTGTCATTGGTGTATAGAAGGTTAAAAACAGTTACATGTATGTGTTTTCACTAACAACTTTATCTTTTCGTTTCCCCACAGAGTCTTCTAACAGATGAGCAGATTGCGAACGCGCCGGTTCTGATTCTGGGGAACAAGATCGACAAGCCGGGGGCAGCGAGCGAGGAGGAACTCAGGCAGTGGTTTGGCTTACACGGACAGACAACCGGAAAGGTGAGGAAAACGCAGGGTGGTTTTCTTGATCGTACAAGAAGGCTCATTGAGTTATTTGCATTGGTTCGATCCACTGGCATGCCCAATGTTGTGCCAATGAAAGGCACTTTCTAATTTTTATGCTTACGGAAGGAAAACATATTGCTTTTGCTCGGTTTCCTCTTCTTCTCCAAACCAAAATGTTCAATGACCTGAACCAGACAGTCTGTTACCATGGTAACTAGTGTTGGGTTACATTATGTTGCAAGTTTATGGCAGGAGGGAGTTAGACTCCTGTCACTGTATATATAAATGTGTTTTTTTTCTTGATATTTTTCTTAATTCTTTCCTTGACTGCTGAATGCTTTCTGTTTGTTGTTTTCAGGGCAATGTGCCGCTCCATGAATTGAACACACGGCCTGTGGAGTTGTTTATGTGCAGTGTACTGAAGAGGCAAGGTTACGGGGAGGGCTTCCGCTGGCTGGCACAGTACATCTAGTCCGCGCGCCCACACAACTCATGTGACTCCAGGACAAGGGTCAGGAGCAAGTCGGTGGAACGTACTGCACCTGCGCAAAACTCTGGTTTTCTTTTCACGGTTTTAGTTGGATGTTTGGTCAACGTTGCATCAGAATTGATGATATCTTTTCCAACACAACATTTGGAAACTACAGACAGGATGTTAACCTTGTATGCAAGAATACAACCTTATATGAGACGTTCTGCTGAAGTGCTATCAACAATACATTATGGGTTTCGTGCAGTTGCAGTACGTTCTGCCGATGTGCTAGGGTCAGGCCAGGTCACTGCTTTCTGCTTCCTGCTCCCTTATTTTTAACCCTTGCCCTGCCGAGGGGTGCTTTCATGCACCATATTTGTATGGTTACAGCTCAAGTCGGCAGGGTTAGGGTTAAAAGGTGACTTTATTTTAGTTTTCATCTGTTGTCATGATCGATCGTGGAGCAGTCCATTTCTAAAGAAGGGGTGGTCAGGAAACAGGAAGCAGTGTCGGGAGGAAGATGTTTGGGGATCGTCTCGTGATATGTATGTTCCCAGTGCTGTAGTGTGGGCAAACAATCAGATTTTTGTTCTGAGTCAATGCAGATATGATGAGACGATCCCTAAGGATCGAAATAGTAACATTTCTTCTCTGAAAAAAAATGTATGCAAATAAGTGTTTCCCCAAGTGGCCCCAAACTGGTGACAGTTCTGTTGGCCAGGTTTTTTCATAATCCAGGCACCCAGAATTTATAGAAATGAATTCACAAAAGAAAAAAAGAAGAAATTGGAGAGACCTGGCCAGGAGGACTGTCACCATGTGTTCTAAACCTTCTGTCTTTTGTAAGCTGGGTTGTCTAATTTTTCTTCACCCCCCTCCCCCATAACTACTATAGAGTTAACATCAGTATACTGTAACTCTGAGGCTGAACATTATGGAATATGCGAACTTTTTGATATGGGAACTTGCGACCATAAATATTGATAGTCTGTCAGTTTCAATTTGTGTTACTAGCTTCACGATTTCATATCAAATGTACAAAAAATATCTGTATCAACATTTGTATGATATGCTTAATTGCTTATCGTGGAATGTGTAACACTAACACGTATTATCTGTAAGCAATTTGAACAAACCATGGTAACTACAGTTTGAATACTAGGAACTGTATGGACACATATTGTCACATGTGGTTGTGGTAGGATCAGTGTGATCCAAAACCCCTAATCTCCAAGCAGGTCATACGGTGGCAAGACAGTATCCATTGGCCAGAGGAGTGTCCATCAGCCACAATACGTTCTTGCCACCCTATGATCTGCTTGGAGATTAACAACCCCAACAGTATGTTTCCAACCAATTTCTCCCTCTCCCAGCTTACTTTAGACAGAAGGTATTGTGTCCCATTGGCCTATGTTCCAGAGTTGCAATTTTTGTACTAGTGCGTGACCAGCGTTTCGATAACCCCCATCCATAGCCCTAACCGACGTAGCAGCCTAGATCCAGGGTAGGTCTATATTTTGTGGTTATGTAAAAAGGAACAAATTGTTAGACTATGATTCAAGCATCTTATTGTGAAGAGCAACGATTGGTTAAAGTCATTATTGTTATAATAATTAACCCTCAGGTTTTTTTCCTTTAATCTAATTCATTTACGTAGAAATCGCAAAAAGGTGGATGACCTTCTTTATGAACCAAAAAAAAAGCGTTGGAAAGTATATTTCCACAAGGCCTGTGAAAAAAAGTAATAAAAAAAATCGTCAAACTTTCTTTTACCTTGAAGTTTTCCTACTAGTTTTCATTTTCTGTACTAGCTGGTGGGAAACAAGTCTCTATGTTTTACTGTAGTTTGAATAGCAGGTCACATGAATTTTGACCAATCAGCTGCAAGTCTGTAAGGTTACCATGGTAACTGGAGCATGATTGGCACACAGTGTAGCCACTCGACGGTGACGGGAAGAATTCCATCTTTTTGTAAACTGGAGTCGTCGTTAGGTTTTGATTTGATTAACAATCACATTTCATATTAGGAAAATAGAATGTCATAATTCAAATCTGTGGGTACATTTTTTTTTATTCTGCTGACTACAATCAGAGTAATCTAGCCATATGACTTAATAATGATGATGATGTGCCTATTTCTAGTACTGTTATGAATCAGAAAGTTCTTTACAACAGTTTCCTTTTTAATTTACGACGTGATTTAATTAAGTAGGCTGTAAGAGAGAAAATTAAGCTTATACCATATATGGTTATGATTGTAAATACAGGCAGCCGCCATGCCCCTGACAGGTCACCTAAGGAAACCCCGTCGGCCGCAAAGCCTGATGGGTAACAGCAGCCCATGTCCTTATATGGATTGTTGACATTTTCTTGCATTCTAGTATTTATTGTTGTTTAAATACTTTAATCATTGTAGAGATCACCAGTGCAAATATAGCATTTTTTTGTCAGTTGTTGACAATAGACGGCGTTTTTTTGGGGCGGTCGAAATGTACCAGAATTCGCTCGGTTCGTTTTGGAACTCCGAGAACGCCGTGAGATTGTTTCGCTTCTTCTTCTTCACAGAAAAGAATAAAACCATCAGTGGCATGGAACTCACTCAAGAGTCATGACTCAATCCTGACTGTTGTTCAACTAAAGTTAGCCTCCTCCACAGTCTTTTGAGGTGGCAGCATTAATTTTTCTTGGGGAGCGATACAAGTTGTGGCGTGGAGGGAGTTTGGGTGGCGATAAACTCCCTCCACGGCAAAACTCCCACAGAATAACTCGTGTTGCTCCCCCAAAAATATTTAATGCTGCCTAAAAACTTAAGTCACATTCGCTGTGCTGAATGCATGTGGAGGGATTTTCAAGGCTCAGGCTACTGACCCTGCATGGGAGCCAGACTAGTACCAGGCCGTTAACCATTTTCCTTCGGCAGCCAAGAGCCCTTCACCCGCTTATCTAAATTACCGCTGTGGGGTAGTTTGGCCAAGTCATGGAGTGAAAGTCAAATGATTTGATAGCAGTAAGTATAAGGTACAGAAAATCAATATAACTTCCACATAAACTTAGGATAATGTTGCTCAAATACTAACTAGACTAACACCCATAGGGCCCATAGTACGTACCTTACCTTAATGTTTTATATAGGAAGAATGTAAGAAAATGAAATGTGGACTACCTTGATGCAAGGACTTGCTTGATACTGCACAGGGGTAGGAACCAAGCTGTAAAACAATTCCTCAGAACATTTCACTGGCAAACCAACAGAGCTGCCAGCATAATTCTGATGTGTTGGAGGAAACTCTGTCATTACACACTTTGGCAACTCTTCAAGCTGTGATTGGCTGCCTGTCCACCAATCAGCATGGAGGGTTCCAAATTTGAATAGGGAACTCCCCTGATGATGTCATCGTGACACATCATTACCAGGTATGCTGTCCCTTCCACATCACCTGTAATAACCCCTACTTTACAATGGAATTGCCCTGACTTCATACATATTTGTAAGGCATTGGATCAGTCCACTCATAAAAATAGGGGTGTTTTGACAAAACCGGTGGAAACGTATATTTTGGGGAATGGTAAGTTAAGGTGTATGTGGCACACAGACATTGGATTTTGTCTTAAGATAAGACAAGAAGTGGCCAGATAAAGCCTTAAGAATTCACACTTGGAGCTGCTTGAAGTTTTTCTGCTGAAGAAGTTTTTACCATGTTCCTGTGGGACTGGCTGGCTGCTGCCCTCAGCTATCTGGGTAAGTTTGCTGGTTGTATTTAGCATTTTCAGCCTTAAAAAATATTTTTGTGTTTAGAAACTTCAAATGTAACATATAGCTGTCTAGTTTAACAGAGTAGCTGTTTTTCAATTTTATAGACTGAAGTAAACAAATGACTATTGCAGACAACAGATAGTTGTGCTCATGTGTGATGATTATATAATCCTAGTTGCTTGATCAGTCTTGATTCTTTTTCTGTGTCTTCTTTCTTAAACTGCATCTATTGTTTGTGTGCACCTCTTGTAGAGGTAGGGCTTATTCATGAATAGTATCAAGATGAGTGTTAGGTTCTAATGCTGTTACATGTAGATTGTAATTATGAACTGGTCTTTTGGGGGCTTCATACTTTAATTGTGTTGCCTCCTGAGTCAGGTTAATGGGTCGGACTGCTCTACTTCTATCATGGGGGGGGGGGGGGTTCATAACAAGACTGCTCTACTTCTATAGGAAAGGGGGGATTTTGTGTGGTAGTGGACAAATGGCTCACAATGGGTTAATAACATGTAGGAAAATGTGAAGAATGTTGGAGTGAGAAAAACCAATGAACTGCGTTATTTCGCAGGCCTGTACCATAAGAAAGGAAAGCTGGTGTTCCTGGGACTGGACAACGCCGGGAAGACGTCTCTGCTCAACCGGCTAAAGTTCGGTACCATGGCAACGCCACGCCCCACCGGACAGCCTCACTGTGAGGAGCTGAACATCGCCGACATGACCTTCAGGACCCACGACCTTGGGGGGCACAAACAAGGTCAAACCAGCTGTCATGTCTGCCATTTTGTAGGACAAACAACATCATATAGTAGATCTTATACTAATACATCCTCTGATGATGTTTATGAAGAACATGGAACTATTGACTGAGCTATATACAATGTATATCAGGCTATATAAAAACTGCTTGGTTATTAGAAAAGATACCAAAAACCTGAAATTAACCCTACCCAATTGTAATTTTGAATAGGGACTTACAACTTACTACATTTATGATCTAGTAATAAAAGCCCTTATGTTTTATAATTTCAATCTGTTTTGTAGTTATCTTACAAAAGCTGCAGTACTTACATTAGTTGAGTCACTTAAGTTAAATTCTATATCTTAACTTTCCCTTCCAGCCCGTCGTGTGTGGAGAGAGTACCTCCCAGCCGTGGACGCCATAGTTTTCATCATCGATGTTACTGACTCACACAGGTTCCAGGAGGCACACAAGGAACTGCAGGTAAGTTACATGTAGTACATGTACATAATGTACAATCTATTTCAATAACTAGTACTGATAAATAACACTAAATTGTATTCAAAATTCTATTCCAGTTAAGGGGTGGTAGAGGTGATGTGGAAGGGACAGCATACCTGGTAATGATGTGTCACGATGACATCATCAGGGGAGTTCCCTATTCAAATTTGGTCCCCTCCATGCTGATTGGTTGACAGACAGCCAATTGTGTTCAACACTAGTCAATATGTACTGATCCATTGCCAATACAAATATCGTATGTATCATATCAGGGCAATTCCATTCTATAGTAGGGGTCTTTACAAGCAATATTACGTTTTGGTTTGACAGTTATACTGAGCTGCTTTACCAGACTTATAAGCTCTACTTATAACTTCTTAAGCCAAATATGGAGTGATGACCTGCCTAGACTGTGACCTTGACCTTTGCCCTTTGCCCCAGGGTCTGCTGAAGGACGAGCTGACCTCCGCGACCCCGCTGCTGATCCTGGGGAACAAGATTGACGACCCGCGGGCGGCCGGGGAGTTCCAGCTCCGCACCGCGTTCGGACTGCACGGACTCACCACCGGCAAGGTTGGTCCTGTTGAACAAGCAAAATAAGCAAAATCCCAAACAACACTGCATGCATTTTTTAGCAATGAAAAAATGCAATCTAAAAATGATACAGGGAATATTACCTATAACAGTTGTTTAATAGCACGCATTGTACATTTCTACTGTGTAAATCTTCTGAACAAGATGAGTTCCAACTCCACCGGGTGTTCGGACTGCACGGCCTCACCACAGGCAAGGTTGGTCTGTTTCGCATAACCGGTAAACCACCTTTAGGCGTAACACACCAGTTTTGTACATGTGCGTACAAGCTGCGTAAGACCAGACCGTAAGGTTTGAGCCACTCACACTGGGAAAGAAAGATCCCCTACTCTTTTCAATGTGTTGTTAAGGATCTTTAACATGCGTGGGGTGTGGCTCTCCCCAAACACGGGACCTCCATTTAACGTCATATCCGAGGGACGTCCCTAACTGAAACTAGGTACTCATTTGCACCTGAGTGAAGTGAGGAAAGTCATTTTAAGTGCCTTTCCCAAGGGCACAAAATTGTTGATAAGGCAGGATTCGAACCCGGGACCTCTTGGCAATCACTCTACCATTATCCCACATGACCCCACTAACTCTATACTACTTCTCTTACCCTTTAGGAACCCAGGACCCTCCCATCAGGCCAACGGGCTGTGGAACTCTTCATGTGCAGCGTTAAGGAGAAGCAGGGGTACGGGGAGGCCTTCCGCTGGCTGGCACAGCACTTCTGAGCAGGGGGGGGGGCATTCACAGCACGGAACAGCCAACATTCTGAGATTTTATTACAAGTATGAGAAAAATGGACTTGAAAGAGTCAAAGGTAAAAGGTCAAGATAGTTAAATAACTGAAAGTAAGACCTGTCATCCAGTAAATTCAAGACTCTTGTTGGGTACATATTGATGAAAATCGACCATTTAAAAATGACAATCCTCAGTCGAAATGTTGGGATGCAAAACAATTTAGTAAAATTTGTTGACAAGAAGCCACTGCATATTGTTTGATCTGCTAAGTTTGATGGATAACCAGGGACAGTCAATTGTCTTGGGCAAAAAAACTTCCCAGGAAGAGTTACAAACAACAAACTTTCCACTGCACATACATGTAGCAGAGGCTAGTGAGAACAATGTTGACGAATGTCAATGAGTGAACAAAAATGGCAGCAGGAATCAGTTTTATTGTCTTTATTATGAAACATGACCAGTGACAATGGTTAAGATTCTTTCTCTGGAACAAAAAAGGATAAACTTGCAGAATCTAAACAGGCTCCAGGTAAGAAATACCTGGAACTTATAAACAACCAGCCTCATTATTTCATGGAATACAGTATTGGTATCTTACAATGCAGAAATGTAAGAAATAAATTAGCAAAGTTGACAGCCATCAATCATAAAATTTGGAACAAAACATACCAGTAGTTGTTGTAACTATAAGTAAGATGGAAACATTTTCTTTGAATTCCCATAAAGTTTATGCCAGTGCGTTATTGAATTATATGCATGAAATTTTACATGGAACAGGTACACATTTTACACATTGTACATGTACATAGTAGTTTCTATCTGTATAACAGATTACAATGTTGGGCAAATTGAATTATTCGTTGCAACTCTGTTCTCTCAATAAAATATGGTGACCCCATTCTCTCTTGTTTCTTTTCATATAAATCATGATACTGGGTAATTTGAAAGAAGGAACAAGATGTACATGTGTAGTTATGATGGAAGAATTTTACATGATCGTCTTCCCCAAAGTGTTCCCATGCCAGAAAATTGATGAATTTTTGAAATTGAATTGAGCATTGTGACATTTTTCTTGTTCACACTTTTGAATAGTATTCTGCAGACATTGCCTAGATTTGAGAAGAATGCAGTTTATTTCAAAGCTTTTTCGCAACATAAAAGTAAATTTAAGGGATGACATAAGCTTGTTTAGGATACAGAAAAACCATAGAAGTCACAATTGATTGCATAATTTATTCCTCAGCATTTGAGTTCAAAAACATTTTGAGTTCCCATCTGCAAGTGTGTATTGTACACAAGGCATAGCCTCTACCAGGCTTCGGGAGGCGGCTGAGAGATTAGAAATAAGCCAAATAGAGAGATAACATGCCAGGGGAGTGGCAAACTGTTCTCTCCAGACGACCAAAGTCCCCTGGCATGTTATCTCTCTATTTGGCCGATTTCTACTCTTTCCAGCCGCCTCCCGAAGCCTGGTAGAGGCTACACAAGGTAAAGCTATTAATATAATACAGTTTACACATTGTTAGGTTATACTTAACATTATGAACAATTCTCAGAAACATAACTAAAGTGCCAAATCAGCACAGATGCTTAACTCTAAATTATTGGCAGATTGTATTTACACATGACGACCTACCCAGCATGCTTTGCTGGCTTCCCATAATGCCTTTGTGTGGACAAACATTGTCCAAGCAAAAAAGAAAAAAAAAACATTGAAAATAACTGGACTTAATTATTTGAAATAATTATGACAAAATTTTTCCCATTTCATGCATGGCAACTGTGAGACAAGGCCATTCCAAAACAATTTGTTGGTTCTGGGATCTTCTGATTCAAGCCTGTTTTCATCATTATCTTTTTTTTGTCTAAAAACCAGCAAATAAAATGGTTTGGCCTTAGTCAAATACCTACAGGAGACAGCTGTCTACAATATAACATTTCTTTCCACATAAGGGCATCTTAACAACATATTGTACAGCATTCTACTAAATAGTTGGATTAAGGGTAAGAAGAAAACTCAAGGTGTGTGAGGCTTAGAGAGGGAGAAAGGAGAGGCACAACAGGAGGAAAAAGTCTGATCAAGTTTTATTTCGCTCAAGTTTAAATGAAATAAATTCCAACTGATACTAAATTGCATGTCATAAGATTGTACCACAACTGATTCTCTACAACTCTGTTTTCTGTGAAAGCCCACAGAAGCATAGAAGACCCATAAAGGCCACATCAATTTGTTTCCTTGGTTCTCTTTCATTTAAAAAGATGAACAAGAAAACAAAGCTGGGAGAAAAACGTTACCCTGATTATATTCTCACTCCCTGTGTGAGCCAAGGTACAGGCTTTCCCCTCAGGCTGTTTTCATGTACATTGAATGCTGACCTTCTGCAGTTTAGGATTGAGAACCAATGAAATAATTAAGTGTAGCTTGAAGCAGTGAAGGACTAGCCTGGAGTCCAGCCTTGTTAGCTTTGGTCAGCTCCCCAAGATCTGCTATCTCGCCATTACTAGTTCATTACGTGGGCCTGCTGGAATTGTTTAAATGGTAATGGCACCCAGTCTTGTTGGCGGGGAGCGGCTCTTGGGGAGCGGACCAAAGCTAACCAGGCTGGACTCCAGGCTAGTAAAGGACTTGTAAGTTGTAGTGTCCACATGTCAGTTATTTTTGAGGGAAAGGGCCCAAACATGACGTTGTACTGCTAGCTGGCTTACAGAATGTACAGAAAATATCAAATATTGTAATATCATGGTAAAATATCAATAATTATCTTGTACCTAAGTTAAAGTATGGACAGAAGCAGAACTGGCATTTAATAATGTTGAAGTAGTTTAAACAATAGTCGAAGTTAATATTACATGTTCAATTGTATACAGACAGTCAAAATGGAGCATTTATTGTTATTTCCAATGTAAAATATGCGTAGAATTTCAGTTTACATTTTTACTTTATTGTCACTTTCAACACTTTTCTTACAGAGGCAACTTTTTCCCCTAAAACCGCATCATTTGACATTTGGTGCCTCTGTCTTGTCTATAGGAGCAGGCCTTGCTACATCTGACCATGTCAGCTTGTAGAATTGATACATTTGTAGCCATTTACAAGTTTCAACACACTTGTGTTGGACACATATTTGGCAACACGCAATTGTGTCAAAATGATCTGTACAGGATACATTTCAAGTTTCCTGGGTCTAGTTTTAAAAGTAGGCCACATTAACTCAACTTTATGGTTGCCGTAGCACATACTGGTACATGTATATTGCATATTGTATTTTTGCCTGAATATTTATTGTATTTGCCCAAAATCCAACCCCCTCCCCCAAAATTGCTCCTTTCATATGAAGGAAGACACTGACTGCTGATAGCCCAAAGACAACTTACCATAAGTAAAGAACTAACAGTGACCAGGTAATTTGAAAAACCCTCTGTAACACTTTGTGGCAATTTCCAACAAGTAGACTCAAAATCTAACTCTACTACTGGATAAATTATGGACAATAATTTCCAGAAGAAGAGTGGTGGATCTCACTCGAAACGTCCAGAAATTATCCTCCGTAATAGTAGAGTTCGAATTTCCAATGAGTATGTTAGTTTACCTTGATGTCTAACCTTCATCAACGCAACATGTTGCCTGTTATGTCAAAGCTCTGTTCTGCTATTCTCCAAGTTGACATGGTCAGATGCAGGCAGGGAGACTTTAAGATGAAGAAATGTACACAAAGTCTTAAGATCAGTCTTAAGTCGGGCCTCAGCTGAGGAGGTTTCTGATCTCCTTGTGCATGTGGCAGAGGAAGTCCACGTACGATGCCCCCCCATACAGACCCTTGTCCTCCACCAGGAAGTGCTGGAACCACGGCTCCAACTTGTCTCGCTGTCTCACGATCGTCAGCTGGGGAAAAAACAAACAAACAAATAAACAAACATCACAAAACTGTCAGCTACAAACTTGTCCTGCTGTCTTATGATCCTCAACTGAGCAAAAAAACAAATGTCAAGCCGTCTCCTGACCTTCATTAAGGTCATGCCCTCTGTTGACCTTCACGAAGGTCATGCCCTCTTCTGACCTTCACCAAGGTCATGCCCCCTACGGACCTTCACCAAGGTCATGCCCTCTACTGACCTTCACCAAGGTCGTGACCTCTACTGACCTTCATAAACCTGCTCCTCTGACTGCGGATGTGTTGCACCAGGTTCCGCACACGAGCAGACAGGGGGTTGTCCAGACTCAGCAGGGTGCCCTGGGGACAACAAGGAGGGAAATTCATAAACAAACTGACAAACAAACATGTCAAATTTTCCTTGATATAAAATTCAAGTAAAGTTTCTATTTAAGTTATTGTACTAAATTCTAAACTGGGTGCACAAAAAATGTTTTGAGTTCACCATAAAATACTTGTCATGACAAACAAAAGGTCACAAAGTAGAATTGTCCCTCACAGCTCCCCTTCGTGCTATCACTGGCCAAATACCTGATTAATGTGCAGTTTTCCTTAATTTGCATATACTACGCCAAGAGTCAAAGTTCAAAGGTTACCCCTATCCCATAATGCCCTAGTCCTCATTCTTTTCCTTGGCGCGCCATATTGGAAATACGTCGAGAGTTGTACTCAGCTTTTCATCAAGCTTGATTCCGTTTTTTCGCGTCGTTGTCAACCCTTATACAACCGGGATGTCTTCCAAGAAAGTCAAGACACCGTCGCAGGATGTGAGGGAGATTCGGACCTCCCAAAAGCCCGCTAAAACCGCGAAAGAGAGTCACGCGGAGGAGAGAAAGTCAGCGGACCCCGCGCTTTCTCCCTCCCATGGGGACGCTGGTATGCCGACGGACACCTCGCAAAACCAGGTCCCTCTCGGCCAAAATCGCGTACAAAATGCCGATTTTGCCGGGCAAGCGGGCGGCTCCGGCTCGTGCTCGGCTCCGGTCGATACGAGTCGTGGGGACGGGTCGGCTGCCCGCCGGGCAGGCGACTCCAGCGTGACGCACATGGAAAGGGAGCCCGCCCAAGGCGGCTTCCCGCGCGGCGGACCACATGTGGCAGCCGCCGCGGCTTACGGACCCAACCCGTGGTTCAACTTCATGCCGCCTCCACCTTCCCCGCTTGGATATGGCTTCCCAGCGCCACCGGCTCAGACACAATTCTAATCGACCAGGAGGTGGAAAAACTCCTCTCAAAAGGAGCTATCCAGAGAGCCTTACCCACAACAGGTCAGTTCATCTCTTCAATTTTTCTTGTCCCCAAAAAATGCGGAGAACTTCGCCCAGTTATCAACCTCAAGTACTTGAACAATTTCATTGTCAAGAAACATTGCAAATTGGAAACATTCCAAAAGGTCTTGGATCTCCTCCAACCGGGGGATTATATGACAAATCTAGATTTGAAGGATGCCTACTTCACCGTACCCATATTCCACAATCACAGGAAATACCTACGGTTCATATGGAAAGACAGTCTTTACGAGTTTGCAGTCCTTCCCTTCGGTTTGTCCTCGGCCCCCAGGGTCTTTACCAAGATTCTCAAGCCAATTGCGGCTCAGCTACGAGCCCTCGGAGTCCGGCTAGTAATATATTTGGACGATATATTGATAATGGCACAAAATGCAGATCTATGCAGAGAGCACACGGCTCTGACCCGGTCCTTCTTAGAGAACCTGGGGTTTGTAGTCAACTTGGAGAAGTCGCAGTTAACACCATCCCAAACAAGGGAGTTCCTAGGGTTCACTATTTGCTCAGTGAAGATGGAAGTCCTCCTGCCGGACCAGAAAGTACTGAAGATAGTGGATCGATGTCAAAACCTACTATCGAAGGGAAAAGCCTCCCTTCAAGAACTAGCGAGCCTAGTAGGGTTGTTGTCTTCAACCAGCCAAGCGGTGCCACTGGCACCCCTACACTACCGTTACCTACAGAAAGATCTACGTCTCGGTCTCAAGAAGTCGGGACACTACAGCAGTGTGATTCGTCTTTCTCCGATGGCACGACAGGATCTGTGTTGGTGGCCGAAATCGCTAACAAACTCGAACGGGGCTCAACTGAGACCACAAACAGTCCTGGAAGTACAAAGCGATGCCTCCCTCCAGGGATGGGGAGGATTCTCCCAAGAAAAAAAGGCGGGGGGGCGATGGTCAAGCCTGGAGAAGGCCGACCACATCAATGTCCTAGAACTGAAAGCAGCCTTCCTTTCCCTTCAGTCCTTTGCCCAAAATGTTCCAAGAGGACTGGTAAAAATGAAGCTGGACAACACCACAGCTGTGGCGTATATCAATCGGAAAGGAGGCACCAAATCAGTTCAGTTGATGAAGCTCAGTCTAGAAATGTGGAACTGGGCTCTACAAAGGGGACTAATGCTGACAGCATCCCACGTGGAAGGGGCAAAAAATCAAATAGCAGACACGTTGTCACGGGTCTTCAACGACAGGACAGAATGGCAACTGAATCCAGAAGTTTTCAGAAATCTGTCAGAGTTCATGCCTGGAGTGACGATAGACCTGTTCGCCTCCAGACTAAACGCTCAACTTCCACGTTATGTAGCGTGGATGTCGGATCCAGCAGCAGTAGCAGTGGATGCCTTCACCATAGACTGGGGACAGGAAATAGCTTACGCTTATCCCCCCACAGTACTGATCCCACGAATCCTGAACAAGGTGGTACAGGATCAGGCCACAATGTTCCTCCTAGCCCCAGTGTGGCAGACTCAAGTGTGGTACCCGCTAATGCTGGAACTATTGTTTGCACCACCAGTGCTACTTCCCAGATCAGAGGATCTGATCAAGTTACCACACAACGGACAAACACATCCGTTGCTGCCAGAAATGAGACTGGCTTTGTGGCCTCTGTGCGGCACAACCTCCAAGGTGCAGGCATTTCGCCTGGGCCTGCAGACCTCATGTTGTCCTCATGGAGGAAAGGTCTAAGAAACAGTACAAGGGTGCCTGGCATCGGTAGGGTTCTGTGGTGCAATTCACGGAACCAAGAATCCC